CCAGCTCCATCCCCAGCTTTCTTTGCTGATGTCATAGTAAGATTGGCCAAAATACTGATTTGAACTTGCCTTCCACTGCCAAAAATAAAAAATAATAAAGAGATTAGCCTTAGTTTTAGGGTAGAAATGAAAAAAATAAAAATCATAATAAAATGGTTATTTTAAATATTTGTTAATATAATTACAATATATAATTATAATATTTGTTTTAAATAAATTGAGATGCCTGATGAGAGAATGCATAAGCCATAGTCCTTTCCCTTTTAGCTGCAGCTGCTTCTCTCTCTTTTATCCTCTTCACAATCTCTTCCATGGTCTCAGGTCCACCACTCCATTCCACCTGTTTTTAATTTTTCTCAAATAAAAATTTTATGTCCTAAATAAATACAGAGGATAATAAATAAATAAATAGATAAATAAAAAATGATCTTTGGAGACCTCAAGTTCATGGAGCTTGGCATCAAGTTTGAGCTGGTTTTCGAGCTTTTTTTGCCTATTACGGCTATCGAGAACCATGCCAAGCCACCGAGCTTTGATCTCGGCTTGAACTCTGCTCCATAAATGAATGTGATTTAGAGCTGAAGCTGCCTGTTTTTTCACCGAGTGGCCTTCTTCTAAAGCTCCACGAAACTTGACGATTCCTTTCAATCGGCGTAGACCTTTTCTTGCCTGTGATATTAAATTAAAAGCTCCAAAAATTAGTCATTTTGTCTAAAAAAAAAAAAATTGTTTGGCAGACATTAGCTTCAGCAAATTGTATAATTTTTCAACACTATTAACTGCTGGAGGATGATTAAAATGGTTTAGGTTATAAGTTGCCTGGATCATTGTGATGTGAATTAGTTAATATAGGTTAATCACAGGTTTTGCCTGTAATTAGTAAAGTATACAATCTACTTAATAGTTACAGACAATGTTCTAGAAAGCGCTAGACGATGGGGTTTAGATAGGGTCGTAAATTAAATTTATTTATTTATTTATATTTATCATTATACATAATTTGGAAGATATTATTATACGAAAAACAATTTCATCGAAAACGGGACTAGCAAACTCACCTTATATGCCCTATAAGCACATTGAATTTTGGTAGCTGCATCATCTTGTGTTAGATGCCTTAGTTTTGTGTTCTTTTTTGAGGTCCCATAAATGCCAAGAAATGTGCTATCTTTGTTGGATATTTGATTTTTCTGCATCAAATTTTAAGTAAAAGCAATATATATATACACACACATACATAACATATCTCTGTTAATTGAACTGCAGATTAGACATAGATTTAAGCTTAGACATCAACTTGTTTGTGTTTGTTTTGCTTTGATCTCTTTAGGCTTATTATGGTCTTCAACCAATCGCCCGAGCCCATCTGCAGACATTAATCTAGCATATATAAGGTTTATTTTACAATTAAATATGATCATATACTATAAATTCAAGTTCGTCCGCGACATAATTTTGATCAAAAAACGGTTGCATATGATGTTATATTTGTGCACGTGTTATTATTTATTAATCAAATGAAAGAAAAGGAGAAAGAATATGTACACGTATCATTCATTTAATAAATAAATATATAAATAAATAAATAAGAAGAAAAAATTTTAAGGGCAAACAAAACTATAACTAAATTTGCATTGCTTTAATATGTTAGATGAGAGATTATTGAAGGATTAGTTTACCTGATTAGGAGTGATTACTGATTAGCAGCAACTACTAACTTATAATCCAATGTGTGTGTGTGTGTGTGTGTGTGTGTGTATATATATATATATATATATATATATATCCAAAATAAAAGGGTTAGCAAAGAAAGTGTTGTGGGTGTGTGTGAAATAAGTACCAATTAATATAATAAATATGTACCATATTTGAGAGGAACATTGGAACTAGTTTGCATGTTTTATAATTAAATTGTAACTGCAAAATTGACAAAGCAACTGAAAGAGAGTAAAGATGGTTGAGCATGACATGCCTCCTTATTGTGATGAAGGATGGTTCAACCTCTTCTGTTTACATACAAAAACACACACACACACACATGTTATTACTTGTGTATAGTAACTTGGTAAGTTCGAATCAGTGACTACACGCAGATTATCACCATTTTGCGAGTGTGCGTATTCCGACTGGGATTAATTTTGTGCGAGATATCATAAATAATCGAAGTGTTTGTGGGAATTGTGACTACACGCAGATTATCATCATTTTGTGAGCGTGTTAATCATATTGTGATAAATTTCGTGTGAGATATCATAAATAATCGTAATATTTGTGGAAACTATTTATGACTACACGCAAATTTATCTCCGTTATGTGAGCGTGTTAATCGACTTGTGATATTCGTGTGAGTTATCATAAATAATCGTAGTGTTTGTGGAAACTGTTAGAAATGTCGTATTTGGACAACATATGTAACTCAAATGTGTGTAGTTGTCATGATATAAATCAATTAAAATGAATTACAAAGTTTGTAATTTTTGAACAAAGAGGGTATTAAATTGTTATAAATTTTTTATAAATGTAAAAGTATAGATAAAATTATGAGATTTTCTGTTTGATGATGGACAAAATTGAAAATTATCTATTTGGTTATGGTGCTAAACGAGGAAAAAGTAAGAGCATAATTCTGAAAAAAAATGTCTTTTCTCCCTTAAAAGTCACCACCAAACTTCAGAAAATATAGAAAATACTGAATAAAAAAAAATATATGATTATTGAAACGATCTAAAAAAATAATGAGTACAGAACACAAATTATTCTGGAAATATATATGTGGTATTGGTGCGCTTAATTATTATGAAGTACATATTTATTCATTCATATATAAAAATATCTATTTATATATAAAGTGTAGTTTGTGTGGTTTGTTAATATATAAAAGATGGCTTAAGGAGAATAAAGAAAAAGAAACAAAAATCAAAGTCTAGGCACGTAATAATTACGTTCTCTTTAACACGAAATTACCCCGTAAATACTCATGGTTAACGGCAAACGCCTCCAAGATACAACGACTTTCCGACTTGTATATAACGGTACTTCGAATATACACCTTCGGCGAACACTATTATTGTTTGAAACTCTCAAGACTCAATGAAAAAATCAAAGAACACAATATGCTATATGATCTTTGAAAAACAATGCAAGAGCTCTCTAATTTTCCTATATGAATGGTTGCACCACTCATGCATGTATGTAGGTATTTATAGATGTAGGAAAACACCTCCAAGAAGTTTAAGTGTGAAGAGACAGACACCTTTTGGGACGCAACCGAACGAGAACAGATGCATCTACAGGCCTAAAAGACACCTTATAGTCACCAGAGGTTGTGACCTTTTGGTTTCCGTAGCCAGCTGCGTGCATGCGCGCCGCGGGCTCGTACGAGCTCATACAGACTCGGAATCAAGTTCCGTTTTTTCCTACTCGTCTCCAACGAGCCCATCTACAAATCTAGCATATATAATGCATGATTATGACTCGTTTAGTTTGTCCAAACATTTATCAAAACATAACGTTTTATGAATCTAATAAATTGAGCTACTTAAACTCATTGCTTCAACTTTACATTTTTCACATATACAACTTAGAATTAATTTCTCATTCACCTTTGAAGTAAATCAGTACAAAACCAATTTTTTCTTACATAAAGAAATGAAGAACAAATAATAGAAGAATATGTTCACGCTTTTATTTGTTGGTCACAAATGAAATGAAAGAATAATGCATAATAATAATAATAATAATAATAATAAACCAAATGAAATGAAAGGATAATGCATATTAATAATAATAATTAATAATAATAATAAACCAAATGAAATGAAAGAACAATGCATAATAATAATGAACGTTTTGATAGGCCACATTCTGTAGTGAAAAATTTTAAATAACTAAACGAATAAAATAACTTGACAATTAAAAGTCTGGTCCCGGCGGGGCTCGAACCCGCGACCTTCGGCTCATAAGACCAACGCTCTAACCAACTGAGCTACGGGACCGAGATATTATTAAATTTTGTAACAATTATAAATATAAACAGAAACACCGCGTGTGTTTACCCGAATTGGAAAACATTTTGCCTGTTCGAAATACACTTCCGACCTGAAAATATCACTTAATAGCTAACTAGTGTATAGCCCGTGCGATGCACGAGTAAATAATATTAAATAATAATTATAAATTAAAAATGAGATAGTAAACAATATTAACTAATCATTGTAATTAAGATGTTGAGTTAATATGTGACATAATTTATCGTATATCAGTTGTAAACAATATAAAATATCTTGTATAAAATAATATAAAAAATGTATGTTTAAAATATTATATAACTATGCAAAGTATCTAAACTTTTATATATCATTATTGAAAGATGTGAAGTCACCTAAAATTTTTATAACTATTTTATGAATAAAACATGTCTAAAATTATTTTAAAAAAAATATTGTCTACAATATATTATTCAATTTTCAGAGGATGATAATAAGTATAAGTTTGAATTTTAAAATCCACGTGAGTATTATTTTTTAGATCTGTGTACTATACAAATTATTCATTATGTTAATTTCCTGTGAACTTTATATTGATTTATTCATATTATTTTATTTTCATACAAAGTTGATCGTCTCATTTTGTTTTACCATAATTTCGTGGAGATTTAACAAAGTCGATTTATAAAATGATATAGATATTAACATACAGTTTATAATGGAATTTTCAAAATTGTGTAATATTAACAAATAATATATTAGTATTAAATATTTATTTTAAATGCACAATTATTGAGACTGAGAATTTAAAAATTATTTTACCTTTTGAAACCAAGTATAGAAAAAACAATAGATTTGTAAACATAATTGATAAACATTACCAAGTTTATTTTCACACGTTCCATATAAAAAAGTGATGATTAGTGAAAATGATATTTAAATAATAACATTCAATATTTGTTTTGAAAGGCATAAATATAAAGACTGATATTCTAGAATTTTTATTACCTTTTGAATTGAAATTTTATAAATAGAGATTGAAATTTTAATGTTCTTAGTTGTTTCTATGAAAAAAAAAATTAAAATAAAAAATCCACACTCGTAGCTGGAATTTTTAAATATTAAAATTAATTAAAGCCCAAAATTTAATGCAACATGCAATGTTGTATGATTTTTTAAAGATTAAGAAAAAAATAAAAAATAATGAAACTTACTATTTATAGGTTGCATTAAATTATCTCCTATTTTTTTGCTACTATGTTTTTTAAATGATAATTCTTATTATATATATATATATATATATATATATATATATATATA